ATCTACCTGACAGAAGAGGAACCAACAGTCTGCTTTCAAATAAGCCAGATCTGTAAAATGAATGTGCATGCAAAACTAAGTTCTGGAAGAAGGGTGAATTTCAGAAACTGACAAACAGCCAGAACTTTTTACCTGAGTTTACAGCTGGTAAAAGAAAAAAAAAAAAAAAAAAAGAAGAGACGGGCCTTCGGTCAACTCATTCCAAGCCCTCTACACAAAACTTTGTTATCTTTTGAAGCTTTCTCTATTTCCTCCCCATAAATATTCATCTTTGTTGTTATTTTTCTCAAACACTATCAAACCAAAACAACATGAAGACGAACGATGGAAAGTGACCTGAGGGCGGCATCTTTGACATGGAAAACTGCACTGAAGATTGCACAGGACAGAAAAGCTTGGAAAGTCCTCTCTGAAGCCTCATGTGCCACTAGGCATAATGAGAACTGATGATGATGATTATCAAAGCCCTTAAACACTCAACAACAGAGACTAAGCACAAATTAGTGTGACTGGAGTGCAACAACACATGTGCTGCTACCATGTAATTAAAATTTAAAAATAATTTGTTTTCTACTCTAAAAAAAATACCTTTAATGCACGTTTGTACTGTGCTACATCTCTTGAAAACATGTTTACAGAAATAGAACATATACCATCTGAAAGTATATATTCTGTAATGTAGATCATACGATGTGGTCTGAAAGTATATGTTTAAAAAATCAACTTCCAGAAAGTATATTTTAAAAATATGAAAACTTCAAGGTACTGTGCTACTCCTTGAAAGTATACAAATTACAATTTCACCATCTGAAAGCATATACTTTATAATCAAGGATATATATTCTGTAGGTATATTTTAAACAATAATCTTCCAGAAAGTATATTTTTAAAATAAAAATTAATCTCAAGGACCCGTTAATTTAGAATCACACCATCTAAAAGTTTTTATTTCATATAAATAAAATGTCAATATCTAAAAGTTTTAAAGTGAAAAGTATATCTCTCTCAGGGAATAGGTCAGGGACCATCAAGGGCAGAACTTCTAGCTTCAGTTAGAATGATTCACTTTTTTGGCTTCATTTTAATTAACTGTTACTGTAGCATGTACTTGATGAGACACCGCGAAATAACAAACAATAGAATCAGTAGAGAAAGAAGATTATCATGGCCTGGAGAGAATGAGGCACCTGGGTGTAACCAGAGGGTCTGGCTGGGTCACTAGACTCAAGAGAAAGGCAAAACAGACTTTTAACCAGACTGTGTTCAGTATTGGAACTCTGCGCTGGCTGCTGAAGATGAGAACAGAGCATGCATGGGAATACTCCGAGTGCTGTGATGTCAATTCTTGACTCAACTCAACTCAACACAGTGAAATATGCCAGGCATATATGAACAGATTGTGCAGTCTATTGTTTGTGTCTTCTTTGTTTAATCTATAGCAGAAATCTAAAAAAAAAAAACTGAGCTCACAAATGTTAAAAGTTGCTGTTTTCAATTAATTCTGTAGCAAATAAACTTGCCTGACCTGCCTGCTTACCAATAGCAGACATTAAATGGACCAGATTACCTGTGAAAGTGTAATAAAGAATATAAATGGATATCGTCTACTGGATACTAACTGAGTGCATTCAGTATGTCATCTGTGTTTTACACAGGGAAACCACTAGCAACCAGTCAGCACACGGAGGAGACAATAAGTAAAGTAAAGTAAAGTAAAGTAAAGTAAAGTAAAGTAAAGTAAAGTAAAGTAAAGTAAAGTAAAGTAAAGTAAAGTAAAGTAAAGTAAAACTAAAGTAAACTAAAGTAAAGTAAAGTAAAGTAAAGTAAAGTAAAGTAAAGTAAAGTAAAGTAAAGTAAAGTAAAGTAAAGTAAAGTAAAGTAAAGTAAAGTAAAGTAAAGTAAACTAAAGTAAAGTAAAGTAAAGTAAAGTAAAGTAAAGTAAAGTAAAGTAAAGTAAAGTAAAGATCCCTTTTCACGCCTTTCGGCGCATCGGGCATATGGGCAGAGCGTCCCATATTTTTACAGACCATCAGCACTCTGTGGGTAATGTGGTCAGCATTACGCCGGCTGTCTTTACTTCCCATCCTGGTACAATATCCCACCATAAATGCAAAATCAATAGCTTCAGAGAAAATATTTTAAGCAAGTGATGGCATTTTCCATGAATTCTGCAGCTTGAATTTAATGTAGCAACCTCTGTAACCTAAGTACACACACTTTGCTAGTCGTTTTTTAGCCCGGCCTGCTAGCTCAGTTGGTTAAACCTGACTGTGCGGCACGAGGTGACAATCTCCTTGTGGTTGGGGTTCACGCCCAGAGGTAGGCAGAAAAGCAATATTTCTCCCAGATTTACGGTCCTCTTCTTCTTCTTCTGCCTTTCTATCCCCCAATGGAGCATAGGCCCTCAACCAACTCACGCCAAGTCGTTCTATCCTTCGCCATTGCATGGAGCTCTCCCCATGTCCTCCCAATCTTTCTAACCTCGTTCTCCAGCTCTCTTCTCCATGTGTTTTTTGGCCTTTTTTTATTCCTATGCCCCTGTGGGTTCCAATGCAAAGACATTCTAGTAATGCTGTTCTCCTGTTTTCTCAGTGTGTGCCCTATCCAACGCCAGCGTCTTTTCCTCACTTCCTGATCCACTGGAGCCTGTTTAGTTCTCTCCCAAAGTTCTACATTAGTTATTCTATCATACCATTTTATTCCCTCTATTCTGCGCAGGCACCAGTTAATGAATGTCTGTAATTTATTAGTAATTGCCTTGGTTGTTCTCCATTTTTCCGCCCCATACAATAGTACTGATTTGACATTAGAATTAAAAATTTTTAGTTTAGTATTTCTTTTAATTTCTTTTGACCTCCACAAATTCCCTAGTGCTATGAAAGCCCCTCTTGCCTTTTGTATTCTTATTTTAATATCTCTATCAGTTCCTCCATCTTTATCTACATTACTGCCTAAATAGGTGTACGACTCCACATCTTGGAGTGGGGTGCCATTAAGAGAAACCACATTACTATTTGCCTGATTTATTCTCATTATCTTTGTCTTTCCTTTATGGATTTTCAGACCAAGCTGCTTTGATCTCGCATTAAGTATATTTAATTTATCTTGTATCTGATTCCGTGAATGGGACAGAAGAGCAATATCATCAGCGAAGTCCAGATCATCAAGCTGTTTTGTAGGGGTCCACTGAATTCCATTCTTGGTGTTAGCAGTTACTGTTTTCATAGTCCAGTCTATAGCCAGTAAAAATAAGAGGGGCGACAAAAGACATCCTTGTCGCACACCTGTTTTTATTTCAAATGCATCTGTTAGTTTTCCCTCATGAAGAACTCGACATTTCATGTCATGTCTTTATATGTAACTTAGTAAAGGCAACATATAAAGATTTACGGTATCTGCCATGAAATTAGGGCAGAATGGTTGTGATATCCATAGTACTGAGCCAAAGGGTTAATAACTCATGGTTTCTGGATATTTAAAAAAAAAAAATGTATTGTTTTCCATGAATTCTGAAGTACACACAAAAATTAAATCTGCAGTAGCAATTTCTATGGCTTCGGTAAACATAAAAACATAATCTATGGCTTCGGTAAACATAAAAATGGAATCTACAATAGCAATTTCTACCGCTTCAGTAAACACACTCTATTAGTTTTCCATGAATTCTGCAGCACATAGAAAAACTTAACCTACAGTAGCAATTTCTATGGCTTCGTTAAACATAAAAATGAAATCTACAGCAGCAATTTCTACAGCTTCAGTAAACACACTATTAGTTTTCCATGAATTTTGCAGCAAAAAAAGTTTAATCTGTAACAGTGGTTCTTATAATCGGAACACATATACTTTATCAGTTTGTGTTTTCAATAATTCTGCTGCTCAAAAGTTGAAAATATAGGACAAATATCTTTAAATCCAAGAATATATACTTTACTAGCTTTTTTAATTTTTTATTAATTCTTCTGCATATGAACAGAATATATACTTTCAGTCCACAACTTTAGTAAGTAAATAAGCAAATTTTACCCCGCTAAGACATCACACAGAGCGACAAACACCTGGTGACACAATGTGACACTATGCGGATGAGGATCACCCGTGGAGAGGTCCTGGAAACAGCGTTCAACTGTTAGGTTATTTAGGGCTCCTGGCAACAGCCAGAGTGGGGCTTCATAATAACGAAAAATTGCATCCGACAAGGGAGATTATGAAAATAATTCCTGTCTACAACTTTAAAAACACTTTCAATTAAAAACAAAACATGAGGTCCTCGGCTGAAAACTACTTAAAACACAAGCTTGAAACTGTAAAAATGCTGCAGTCTTTCAGATCTTCAACATCACAGGTACACTCACATATGGAGATTCAGAAAACACACTTAGCAGCAGTTCTGCATGTACTGCTTGTACCAGCAAGCAGCCATTTGCAACATTCTTTGATTGTTGATATCTGTTGTTATTGTTTTTATTGTTGTTATTGCATATGTTATTCCCTGAGGGGGGAGTGGACAGGTCAACATGCTGGCAGATTTAGTTCAAGGTTAAAAGGCATAAATATTTCTTGATACATTTTATTATTTAATTTAAGCACACACACACACACATAAAAAGGGTACGTTTACGAATTCCATCAAGACTGCAATGGGCTTTCATTGTGAATTTCATACCGACAGTTTATAAATACATTTTACTGTGAATTTCTTGATGGTGGTTTAAAAAATACAAGCTATCATTGTGAATTCCTACATGATTTATAAAAATAGTTTATCACTGTGAATATCCTCATTTAAAAAAATGAATAAATATGGTTCATCATTGTTAATTTCATCACGATAGTATATAAACGTGGTTTATTACTGTAAATTCCATAGCGAAAATTAATAAATAGGGTCTATCATTGGGAACTGTTATAAATATATCCTATCTTGGTGAATTCCCACTGTGGTGGCTCAGAAACACCTGGCCAGTTAATTTATACGGCAGATCATTAATGACACATTACTATAACCCATTCTCATTGCTACTCTTACTTTTGCTCTGTTTCTTTCTCTCTAGACTGAAATGGTTGCAGTCATAGCTCCCACTTTCCACCGTAATTTGCGGTTTGCTAGAATCACGACCCTTTACCTCACTTAATGGGTGTTTCCTCTCAAGTACATCCTGGGAAGCCACGGTAGAATCAGATGTGGCCTCCAGGGATACTTCTGCTTCAGTGATATCCCCACAGCTGAGAAAACTAGACATACTGCATGTACTCAAACTCTCGTCACAACTTTCCCAGGGCACTGCACTGCTTGTCCCGTCGTTGTTGAAGCTATGGTAAGTGTTACTGGCAATGCTATAGTTGACATTTGAATCATATTCAGAATGACAACTTTCTTCGTTGTCCAGCAACTCAGAATCGCTAGCATTCCCACGTTCAAGATTATCTTCAACACTTGACTCTCTGATTCCTACAGATAACCGGTTGCAGTATCCTACGTCCTCTGAATGGTTAGACAACTGAGTGTTCTTTCCTCTCTTGCTTCTGCTTGTTCTTGAACCGTTCATAGAATTCCAAAAGTCCAGACTACCGAGACTTCTGGTACGGTTCCCGCTAAACAGAGCTCTTTTATCTGAAGCCGTTGCTCCGTCCAGTATCTCCTGGCTATCGCTGCTGGCGCTGAATCGTAATTCGTGTCGGCTTTCTGTCTGAACGGCATCACTTCCATGGAGTGAAGCCTGATGCATCTTCTCTGCAGCCTTTCGCAGCATTATGGGAGATGACGGCAATGACTGACTCTCCTGCTTTTCATTCCAAATAATAGAATTTTGAGATGATGTCAGAAGATCAATAGATTTCCCAGAACAAGCCAGACAACTGGTGCTGCCATTGGGCTTCCACTGTCTGGGAAACTCATGCAGTTTCCTTCCATCCTTCAACCGGCTGATATTTGCAAAGGGGTTAGCGTTTGCTGGACAGTAGTGTGGGTCATCTTTGGTCATAGCTTGGGCCATGATCTGAGGTGTCATGAAGATCTCCTCTCCAGACACTGCTGTGAAACCATCGCTGTTCTGGACAATGTTGTCTTCAGATTTGGATCTTTTATGGAGTCTTCCTGTAATGAGTACATAAAACATTTCCATAAATAAATATACACTCGCAAAGTAGTGCAATAATGTAGAGTTTATATTATATTGTTTAAAATGCTGATTTCATTATTTACAAAAGTCGATTATTTATTTATTTATTTCTTCTTTTCCTTCTTCTTCTTAGCGTTCACCAGCTGTAAACTCTGGTGAAAAGTTCGAGCTGCTCGCCCACTTCTTGTCTTATTCCAGAACTTGAGTTTCCTATGCGCATCCGTTCTACAAATCTGGCTTATATTTTTACAGACTGTTGGTTTCTCTCCTTACAGGCAGAAATACTCTGACTTTGAGGGAAAAACCCTAATTAGGCGCTTTTTACAACAAGCCCGCCAGGGGCAGTAAGTCTATTCTTATTTTCCTCAAAATGATAGCCAGCTTCTGAGTGGACTGTGCGACACTGTGAGCTGTGGATTTCAAGTGAAATGTTTTTTCGTTTGTGCTCCCAAAGATTTGCAATATGAACTACATGTTCAGAAAATGGTGAGTGGGTGGTTACCACAGAATTGGTGGTATGTCTTCTTGAGTAATGCGAGTAAACCTGATGGTTTGTAGTGACTGCTGCTTCTATTACCTTTGAACTGCAATTCTAATGATAGTTGGTGTTGGCATCTCTGGCAGCTGCCTTATGCATTTAATGCATGTGCAAGCTGTTGAATTTTGCTGAGAGTGCTGTCAGACGTTTTCCAAGGATGGTCAGAAGCATTGTGTGTGGTGGTGTTCACTAATACAGGAATGGAGCAATGATGAAGTGACTCATTTGCCATGAATTTTATGACAGGCAGAAATAGGAATATAAGGGGGCTCCAAAACAAAACCTTAAATGTGTGTTAGAACTTATAATAAATAGGCCACTGTCTTTTAACCTGTCAATAATGTTGTTAAGGACGTCAAAAGTATTGAGCACATGACATTACGGTTCAGGCAAACAGGGTGAAGTCATAAAAACAATTTAAAGATGGTCGCCCCACTTCTGACGAGGAGGTGGTGGGGGGGGGGGGGGGGGGGGTGTGGCGGGGGGTGTACTTTTAAGGTTTTCATTTGAAGCTTACTAGTCATTTACTCAAATAAAAATAAAACCAACATATTCAATGTTTTACAACCTGAACTTGATAAGGCATTGGTGTGTAGATTCCTATATATCTTCTGAATTGTGCTGATGATGACTCTAGAGCTTGGACGCTGATCCGGCTGAATCTATAAAAACAATTCAAATGTCAATAGCAACAACAACAACAAATAAAACATAAGTAGTAAGTAAGACAAACTTTTCACTACAGTGGGGCATAGGGTATATGATGCTAGGCTCAATTTTTTGGGAGACAGTTGTACTCTAAACTTTTCATGTTCTTCTTCCTAAGCATTCTGAGCCCTTGAGGTTCAATGCACACAGAATCCATGTGTGACATTATTAACTTTCTGAGTCAATATCGGACAGTTGTTCTCTAAACTTTTCATGTTCTTCTTCCTAAGCACTCTGAGCCCTTGAGGTTCAATGCACACAGAATCCATGTGTGACATTATTAACTTTCTGAGTCAATATCGGACAGTTTTTTCTCTAAACTTTTCATGTTCTTCTTCCTAAGCATTCTGAGCCCTTGAGGTTCAATGCACACAGAATCCATGTGTGACATTATTAACTTTCTGAGTCAATATCGGACAGTTGTTCTCTAAACTTTTCATGTTCTTCTTCCTAAGCATTCTGAGCCCTTGAGGTTCAATGCACACAGAATCCATGTGTGACATTATTAACTTTCTGAGTCAATATCGGACAGTTGTTCTCTAAACTTTTCATGTTCTTCTTCATAAGCATTCTGAGCCCTTGAGGTTCAATGCACACAGAATCCATGTGTGACATTATTAACTTTCTGAGTCAATATCGGACAGTTGTTCTCTAAACTTTTCATGTTCTTCTTCATAAGCATTCTGAGCCCTTGAGGTTCAATGCACACAGAATCCATGTGTGACATTATTAACTTTCTGAGTCAATATCGGACAGTTGTTCTCTAAACTTTTCATGTTCTTCTTCATAAGCATTCTGAGCCCTTGAGGTTCAATGCACACAGAATCCATGTGTGACATTATTAACTTTCTGAGTCAATATCGGACAGTTGTTCTCTAAACTTTTCATGTTCTTCTTCATAAGCATTCTGAGCCCTTGAGGTTCAATGCACACAGAATCCATGTGTGACATTATTAACTTTCTGAGTCAATATCGGACAGTTGTTCTCTAAACTTTTCATGTTCTTCTTCATAAGCATTCTGAGCCCTTGAGGTTCAATGCACACAGAATCCATGTGTGACATTATTAACTTTCTGAGTCAATATCGGACAGTTGTTCTCTAAACTTTTCATGTTCTTCTTCATAAACATTCTGAGCCCTTGAGGTTCAATGCACACAGAATCCATGTGTGACATTCCTATTCATTTCTTAGTCGTGTACTAGTGTAATCTAAGCACGATAGTCATAACCCTAATTCATTTATGATAGTCATAATAACTCCAATCCATGTTTAACAGTTGTAACTCCAATCCATGTTTAACAGTTGTAACTCCAATCCATGTTTAACAGTTGTAACTCCAATCCATGTTTAACAGTTGTAACTCCAATCCATGTTTAACAGTTGTAACTCCAATCCATGTTTAACAGTTGTAACTCCAATCCATGTTTAACAGTTGTAACTCCAATCCATGTTTAACAGTTGTAACTCCAATCCATGTTTAACAGTTGTAACTCCAATCCATGTTTAACAGTTGTAACTCCAATCCATGTTTAACAGTTGTAACTCCAATCCATGTTTAACAGTTGTAACTCCAATCCATGTTTAACAGTTGTAACTCCAATCTATCTTTTACAGCCATAATAAACATTAAGTTATAACACTTTTAATTTGTATCCATTTATGATAGCTCTTTCTTATATGCCTGCGTGATAATCTTTCCTTCTTTTGCATTTGCCCTTAGAAGAGAGGTTGGCAATTGTGTTGTGTTTTACAGATAGGCCCTGATATCTGGTCTTTTCAGTAGAACACATACAATTTCAGCAAATCCATAATTAGTCACTTTTTTTGTGGTATGCTTGTTTGGGGTGCGGGAGGGGGGGGGGGGGTCTGCCCCCCCCCCCCCTCCCCACCAAAGGGACCTAGAACACACACTGGAAATAACCCTATCTGACAGAAGTGAACTAAAATAACCAACTCTTAATTTTAACATATTTTTAAAAAAAAATACACCAATCTTAATAGTGCTTTTGATAGAGCTCATCAACAACACTTCGCTGAGGTATAAGGTGGAAGAGAAGAAGACGAATGAAATTTTTTTTTATATATTACTTACCTGGCAACACTTAAATGCAAGCTGCACAAAATCCAGAGGGCAGTAATCCACCATCTCACAAAATTTCACATAGTCAACCCCAAAATTCTGGAAGAAATATTTAAATTTACAGGAAATCGTCAAAAATTCCTCCAGACATATAATTAATTGGCCTTGTCCATACTAGAAGTCCTAAAAACAACACAAAATGTGACTAGAAAGCTCAAAGGAGAGAAAGGCAAAGATGAGCACAAATAAACCAAATGCTGCCACCAAAGTCTTTATCAACAAAGTACTAAATACAACACATCTGTAACTTTAAAACTCAATGGACTAAACAAAGGGTTTGTAAACAACCAAGGTCAGGATGAAACCAAGAAATATATCTGGTTGTTCACAAACTGTGTTATATAGTTCGCTGAGCTTTCCAGTAACAGTTTTTATTGTACTCCTTTGTTAAAAGACTTTGGTCAAAATGCTTGGTTGTATCTGTGTGCACCTTTTCCATTTTCTCCGATGAGTTTTATAGTCAAATTTTGGTCACGTGCCCAGGCCCAGGATTAGAGTAACTTCCCTTGCCATTTATGCCTCCTTAGGTCGCTGGACCTCTCCTATGTTGCAGGGGTGTTACGAAATGGCTTGGTTTGGCTTTCGCTAGCCATATGTAGTGTTTGTGGGAGGTTGTCTTGCTGTGAGTCTATTTCAGGTGTCACAGGAGCCTGTGTACAAGTAAAAATTATTGCCGAGGGAAGCGTCACAGGCATCACGATCTTGACTATCGAAACAGGAATGTTTCTGTATTTCTATGTTCGTTGGTGGTGGCTTTCCCCCAAATAAAGGACAGCAGTTATAAGGAGCGAAGGAATAGAAAAATATCGCTGTTTCCATACTCCCGAATCGTTGCGCAGGTAGCAGAGCGTGACAAAAATCACGAAAGTGAGCGGTGAAAAGATGAGAAAAGAGGCAACGGTTAAAGCATTCACAAAAAGGAAAACATGACTACCCCGCAACATAGAAAAAATCCAGCGACTTAAGAAGGCCAGAATAGCAAGGAAAGTTACTCTAATCCTAGGCCTAAAAATGTGAATAGCACCAACATTTTAATTTGTTTTTAATACTTATTGTCATCAGCTTGACTGTGGTCGCCCCCCTATGTACATTTTCTCTTTTCAAACTAAGCAACTGCCCAATGTTCACAGGTTAGCCCGAAGAAAGTATACTTTTTTGTTGATTTTATACTATCACAGATGCCACGAGAAAGTATAATTTTTGTTGACTTTATTCTATCACAGATGCCTAGAGAAAGTATAATTTTTGTTGACTTTATCCTTTCACAGATGCCCAGCAAAAGAAATTTTTGTTGACTTTATCCTTTCACAGATGCCCAGCAAAAGAATTTTTGTTGACTTTATCCTATCACAGATGCCCAGAGAATGTATACTTTTTGTTGACTTTTATCCTATCACAAATGCCCAGCAAAAGTATAATTTTTGTTGAATTTTTCCTATCTTATATGCCCAGAAAAAGTAAATTTTTTGTTGACCAACATGTAAGTTTAACTTATCATCATCAAGTACCTTGCCGACTGGCGTGGGAGATCATGCCTCTCCACAATCTGCTGTCTCCAGCAGTATTTATCAGCACATGTGCAAGCAACCCTCCATGCCATGACAAAATTCTACAAAGAATCTTGCTGCACTGTCTTCCTCTACCCCTCTTTCCCCAAATCTTTCTGGAGGTCAAAAATGTGTCCCTGTTTCCCTCATTCTCATAAAAACTGCCCACAAAATTAGGATTATCTCCTTCTGATATTAGTGATACTCTGCTTTGGCCCAGCTAAACCCCCCCCCCCCCCCCCCCCCCCCTAGACAAACACACAGACCACAGCACCAACCTTGGTTCTTGGCATGGTTTCTGGATCAGCTTCGATGCGGGCCGTGATTTCCAGCAAGATGATCCCGTAGGAAAAAATATCCGCCTGGAGAACACAAAAGTTACTGCAAATGACACAAGTGTTCTACAGTATACACAAATAGCAACAGACAGACTAGTGGATCACTGATATGACAAAACAAGGAGATTAAAATAAACAAGACAGATTTAGAGTTAATGACATTAGAATAGACAAGACAAAACAGAGTTAATGAATGAATAGACAAACGATTAGAGGTTAAGTTAATGACATAGAGAAAGACAGATTTAGAGTTAATGACAAATTAGAATAGACAAGACAGATTTAGAGTTAATGACATTAGAATAGACAAGACAGATTTAGAGTTAATGACAAATTAGAATAGACAAGACATATTTAGAGTTAATGACAAATTAGAAAAGACAAAAGACATCTTTAGAGTTAATGACAAGTTAGAATAGACAAGACATATTTAGAGTTAAAGACAAGTTAGAATAGACAAGACATATTTAGAGTTAAATATATATAGAATAGACAAGACATATTTAGAGTTAATGACAAGTTAGAGTAGACAAGACATATTAAGAGTTAATGACAAGTTAAAATAGACAAGACATATTTAGAGTTAAAAACAAGTTAGAATAGACAAGACAGATTAGGAGTTACTGACAATTTAGAATAGACAAGACAGATTTAGAGTTACTGACAAGTTAGAATGGACAAGACAGATTTAGAGTTACAGACAATTTAGAATAGACAAGACAGATTAAGACAATGAAAAGTTAAAATAGACAAGACAGATTTAGAGTTAATGAAAAATCAGATACAGACAAGACACATTTTTTTTAAACTCACCCTTTCATCATAGAACCTGGCATTGATAACCTCGGGGGCCATCCACCATGGGCAGCCAACCGGAGGAAGAGGTTCTGTGGCTCTGGAAATATACAACATAGAAAGACTTGAAGAAGAATGAACTTAAATACCCTTTCAACTGCCCTTGAATCTGTCACCCCAGTTATGCTAAAAAGAAATGAGTAATGACCTCATTGGAATTCTAAAAAAAAAAAAAAAAATCCTTTAACTCATTCATGCTCAGACAACACTGTGTGTGCTGACTGAGAAGTTCTGATTTGCTCAAACCACACAGTATACGTCTATCGTGTGTTCCGCACATATTGAATCACATACTGTTTAGTTTTAGTTTTTAATGTTTGAAAATACCATTAAAATATTCAGGGAAGGTTACTCTAAAACTTTTACTTCGTTTACAAGTCTTTGTTCATACATTTAGGCACAATTTATCAAATTTATTGGTGGTAGCATAATTTTCAGACAGTAAATTTTCCAATTTTGCCATCGACTGACCTCGGATATCAATGTTCCGAACACAAGAACAGGCAACAAAATGTGCATTTCTGTATCTGAAACTGTTTCAATTAGATGTTTTAAATTCTGATTCTGATAGTTAAAATTTATATTTGGGGGGGGGGGGGGGGGGGGGGGGGGGGGAGTGATTCAAACAGTGAATTTACACCAACGACAGCTGAGCGGTTAGCTGTTAGAGAATCCAACAGTTCTGATGAGCTGATAATCTGGTAATCTTAGTTTCAGCTTCAAAGCAAACAGGTCACCCCAAAGTTGTTCCGCTCCTGTGCCAAAGAAAAACACGGGCTTAACCCAATAGGACTCATTTCCTTTGCAAAGGATGTGATTGATAGTCATGCACACCTGCATCTAAAGGACTGTTTCAAACAGTAAAACACAATGGCTAAGCTGCACTGCCGCTTCAGTCTGTATAAAACTGTACAAAGTAAATATTTTGTGTGTAATGTTTCATATTTCTGCCATTTTTTTCTTTAAGATTTTGTTCAGCAATCTACAAGAACCTAGAGCTTCTGAGTGATACACTAACCCAGAAACCTATTATAATTTGTTGAGGCAATTGAACAAATTGTAAATTGCTATTCTCAAATGTGGATATTCAATGCTGTGGTGGCCATAAAATTATGGTCAGTGACGAATTTTTTTGTAAATGTTGTCTTTGTAAACAACTGCTTATTTTTTTTTTTTTTTTAACTATAGCAGCATTAAACATACACATATCATCAGATTCAAAACGTACATTCATGCCTCTTAAAAAAATTTATAATTTTGTAGGGAGTAGAAATACATTACTTTCTGTATTGTTTTTTATTCTTTTTTTTTTTACACAACCCCATCTGCCATTATTGCAAAGGAAAATTAACGTAAACCAAGTCTGTCAAAATTCATAGGCCTGAAAGAATTTTTTTTTTTTAATGTTTGTTAATGGGCGTCTAAAAATTCTGTTAATGATTTATTTATCTTTTCAAAAAAAAACAACTATATAAAGATATATAAAGGGGTTATCGATAAATTTGAACGGAAAGAAGCATTCAATGGTTACATTCTACTGGGTCTACAGAAGCAAATATGTATCGGGCGGTTCATGTTGTGACCCGGTCAACTCTATCACTGGGGCTTGAGGGAAAATTAGATAACAACTTGGCTGTAAAAAAGCTATCTTATACACTGCAAAGCCATTTTAACATTTTATAACCTGACCTACTAAACTTTGCATGGGTGTCAATTCAGCAAATAGCATTAATCCTGTCAACCCAAGAAAGAAAGTTTTTGGACTTGCCTGTTTGCTCCGTGATCATAGGTTTTAATCCTCTGGATTTTTTTTTAAAATTGACCAAGTATGTCGAATAGCTCAAGCTAAGGCAGTATTTTACAAAACGAAGAATATTTTACGCAATCTTTCGTTGTCAACTGAGATGAGAAAGAGAATTCTTAAAAGCTATATAGATCCTATCTTGATGTTTGGATATGAATCATGGACAGTTAGTAAATTAGTGAAAATTTATTTGGAAGCTGCGAAGATGTGGTTTTACAGACGAATGATGAGAATACCCTGAACAGATAAAAAGAGTAATGAAGATGTCTTGAAAGAAACTGACTCACGAAGAGAACTGATTGCCCACATCAGAAAGAGACAATCTACATTCTTTGGTCATGGGATGAGAAGGAGAAAACTGGAGTACCTCGTGACAGTAAGAAAGTTGGAGGGGAGGAGAGGCAGAGGGAGACCGAAGAGAACAGATGCTGGAAAGTCTGATATCATGGCATAGAGGATCATTTGTGTCAGAGTTGACTGAAAGTACACGAGACAGAAGGTTGTGGATAGACATGACTACCAACACCACACGGCATGGATTCTGAAAGTCAGTGTCAGAGTTGACTAAAAGTACACGAGACAGAAAGTTGTGGATAGACATGGCTACTAATGCCACACTGCATGGACTCTGAAAGTCAGTGTCAGAGTTGACTGAAAGTACACGAGACAGAAGGTTGTGGATAGACATGACTACCAACGCCACACTGCATGGACTTTGAAAGTCAGTGTCAGAGCTGACTGAAAGTACACGAGACAGAAGGTTGTGGATTGACATGACTACCAATGCCACACTGCATGGACTCTGAAACTCAGTGTCAGAGTTGACTGAAAGTACACGAGACAGAAGGTTGTGGATAGACATAACTACCAACACCACACTGCATGTACTCTGAAAGTCAGTGTCAGAGTTGACTGAAAGTACACGAGACAGAAAGTTGTGGATAGACATGACTACCAACTCCACACGGCATGGACTCTAAAAGTCAGTGTCAGAGCTGACTGAAAGTACACGAGACAGAAGGTTGTGGATAGACATGACTACCAACACCACACGGCATGGACTCTGAAAGTCAGTGTCAGAGCTGACTGAAAGTACACGAGACAGAAGGTTGTGCATTGACATGACTACCAACGCCACTCGGCATGGGCTTTGAGAAGACGAAGCCCAAGACTCCAAATTTCTTCTGCTTCTCTTCTTCTAGTTTCTAAGGGTACAGTTTCTGAGAATTCATATAAGGCATTTCTTTTTTAACAAAATTTTGACAAATGAAGTTTTCTAAGATTTTACGTGGTGAAAGAGTTAACTACATTTCTTATATACAAGATGTAGACAAGTCGAAAAAGTGACATTTATGAGGAAGTGAAACCAATCCAAAGTTTCGGTTTTGAGGCTTTTTGGGGTAACAGAGTTAAAGGCTATCTTAACTGCACTTCTAAAAATCCTTTAATGCAAGACTGCGAAAACTTTTTACTGCTAAGGACCATCTGGATATATGACATCATTCAGGAGCCATAAAAAAATTATCAATTTGAAATTAGCCTATGTCAAATATTTGAAATCCAACCAATCATCAAACAAAAGATATTCGAAATCCAACCAATCACAAAACAAAAGATATTTGAAATCCAACCAATCATTTAACAAAAAGTATTACAAGACTGTCCTTTAAAAATTCTTTCCTGTTTTTTATGTAATTTTCAAACACCACAGAAGATATAATTAACCAAAACCTACTTGGGATCTGGTATTTTTGTTGCAAGACCAAAATCAGCTATCACAGCCTGGTAGTTCCTGTTGTCTCCTTTCTTTATCAAAATATTCTGCACATAAAAAAAAAAAAAATATTTGTGAGGGTACTACAAAATACAAGTTTTCTCTAGGAACACACCATTCTTCTTCTTTCTTCTTCGCGTTCACCAGCTGTACACTCTGGCGTAAAGTTCTGGTTGTTCGTCCACTTCTGGACTGCAGTCCTGCTCCAGAACCTGAGTGTTGCGTGTGCATCAGTTTTACAGATCTGATTCAATTGAATGCAGACTGCTGGTTCCTTGCCTCTCAGGCAGATGCACTCCGGCTTCAAAGGAAGCTCCCCAGTTAGTCGACTCTTACGACATGCTTTTGGGGAGGCAGTGGGTCTATTCTTGTTTTCCCTACAACAGGGCCCCGGAACCCACACGGGGGACACACCATTCAAATGTGAAGTAACTATTATCAGTTTGACATAAGAGTGAGAGTTAGTATGTTCAGAATCAGGAATGGAAACAACAGACTCAATGAACAGCTAGCTACCTGCACACAAAAGCTAAAGTTTGCAGCAGTTCTTCCCAGTTAACTAAGACATGCAGGCACCAGCAGGTGCATGTCAAAAGTAGAGCGGCCATCTTTAAACCGCCATTATGACATCACTATGTTCGGACAGCCAAAAAGAGCAACCAATAGGTTTTGAAAGAAGCTGGAGCCCGAAGACAACTTATCACAGACATCAGAAGGAGACAGTCATCATTTTCAGCCCTGTTATGAGAAGAGGGAAAATAGAACGTTTTGTGACCACTTGAGAGATCTGTTGAAGGAGGGATATAGAGGAAGACAATGAGAGAAGATTCTTGACAGTCTTGTTGCTTGGCATGGAGGTGTGTCGGCACACAAACTGATACATGCTGCAAGAGATCGAAGATTATGGAGAGGCATGATCGCTCACACCAGTCGGCAAGGCACCTGATGATGATGTTCGTTTGTACCATGATGCCAAATGCTTAATACTACTGACATCATTAACAATAAAACTGACAGGCTTCAATAGAATGGTGCTGCAACTGTAATTCCTATTACATTTTTAATATTTTCATCTGAAGGGCCATAGAAAAAAAAAAGACTGCATTATAAAACTGAGGTTTTAATTTTTACTGTTGTAAATATGGTGGGCTTTCTGGGCTGGCAAAACACCCAATGGGAGTAACTTTATAAGATATTTTGCAAGTAATGGAATATAATGAGGTATCTTCTTCTTTCAAAACAGTATTTAACTGTATATACAAAAATGGGATTAATCGATAAATATGAATGGGGCAGAGACTAAGTTATATCTTTGACCCGTTCTTGACCCCGTGACATTGCTGCCAGCTACCACTGCAACTAGGAGGAAATTCCGATGTCCCATTTTCTGTAAGTAAAGCCACTTTTCACAAGAAAACTCCACCTAAGTGCTATTTTTATGTTTCCAGTCACTCTAAAAAAAGTTGCCTAAGGAAGAAAACGGAAGCAAGCTGTTAGCGTGGCTTCTTGTAAACAAGCCTATAAAACAGCGGTTCTCAACCTGTGGATCACGATGAAATTGTAGGTCCAACGACCCTTTCACAGCGGTCGCCAAAGACCATCAGAAAACACATATTCACTAAAGTTATGAAGTAGCAACAAAAATAATTGTATGGTTGGGGGTCAACACAACATGAAGAAATGTATTAAAGGGTCACGACATTAGGAAGGTTGAGAACCAATGCTCTATAACAAGCTGGGAAAGGGACATTAATGGGGCCATGGCATAAACTGCAAGCCCTGGGTTTTGTGCTTCTCAAGATGAGAGGGTTTAGACCAATGTAAACAACTCTTTAGAAATAGCCCACAGACGAGTTTTACATCTAGCCCTCCCAAAACTTCACTGAGGTACCTGGGAAAAAAAACAGAAGATGATAAGTTGCAAGACACAATGAACCAGTCACTGACCTTCGTTGTGAGATCCCTGTGAAAGACACCCTCTAGGTGGAGGTACTGCATCCCTTTAGCAATATCCAGTGAAAGTCTGATCCGAAGAAACCAGGGCAGCTCCTCCTGCTTGTTAGCCAGAAGATCTTCCAAAGTGCCACCACTGATGTACTTAAATACAAGAAAACAATGGATCTTGAGTATTACTTATTCTAATGGGATGAATTCAAGAGCAGTGAAGAAATAAGAAGTGTCTGGGCAACCACTGGTAACAACAGTTACAGGACAAAGAAGATGGCACTATGTTGGCCACATCCCGAGAAGAAACGAGCAGAAAACCAACAAACAGTCACTAAAATGGGAAACGAATGAAGACCCTAAAATAAACGCTAAAATGAACATTGACGAGAGAGGCCAAAGGTGCTAGACTTGATTCCATGCACGCATTCAAAAAAATAAAAACATGCGCGCACGCATGCACATACACACACAGAGCAAACCAAATGGTTCATTTACTCAGAGAGAATGCCTTGTAATGCCATACTACCATACAAGGCATATACTAAAAGGTAAGAAGGACAAGCAGCATGAGACACACCAAGAACAAGATGGAAAGATAACATCAGAGAAACTCTACACCAGCATGATGTAACTATGACCAAGGCGGCCAGAAAAGCAAGCAGAAGAACATTATATCTCCCTCAAGCCCGAATCAGTAAAAGAATGAATAAGAAGAAAAAAATGATAGAGAAATTACTGATATATGGAGCGATTAATGTAACAATAAGACAATTGATACAATGTATAATTAACGTGACGGTGAAAATATTCACTCATGGTGTCAGTAATGTCATGATTAGTTTAAAATCGTGAAACTAATGTGATAGTAGGAAATTATTTATAAATGGAGTATTGAATGTGATTAAAAAAAACTGTGTAACTAATATGATAGTAACATTTGTTCTTCCTCACATTCACCTGCTATAAACTATGGCGAAAAGTTCTGGCTGTTTGTCCACTTCTGGACTTTAGACTTGTTGCAGAACTTGAGTTTTGTATGCGCATCCGCTTTACAGTATATGACTGATGCACAGTGCAATTAATAAATTAGGCTCAGCAACTTTATGTAAGCAATAACAACAACAATACTATCCCTACCTCTGTCAAAGCATGAAGCTGTCCTTCGTGAACACATACACCCAGAAATCTACAAGGATACAAAAGTAATCATTGGATTACTATAAACTGAATGAAGACAGACATCAAGAAATCTAAGGTGTTATAAACTTTGATTACTATGAACTCTGGACAGGTCAGATAAAAAGAGTAATGAAGATGTCTTGAAAGAAACTGGCTCACAAAGAGAACTGATTGCCCACATCAGAAAGAGACAATCTGCATTCTTTGGTCATGTGATGAAAAGGAGAAAACTGGAGCACATTGTGGCAATAGGAAAGTCAGAGGGGAGGAGAGGCAAAGGGAGAAAGAGAGCACACACAGATGCTGGACAGTCTAACATCATGGCATGGAAGACCATTTGTGTCAGAGTTCATTGAAAGTACACGAGACAGAAGGTTGTGGAAAAACGTAACTACCAACGGCACACAGCATAGACTTTAAGAAGAAGAAGACAATAAACTTCATCAAGACCTATGCTCCGCAGGAGGATAAAAGACAGAAGAAGAAAAAGCTGAATAATGCAATGGTTACAAATGTGAAATCTTTTAAGAAAGACAATCAATAACTGGTATTAGGGAAATATAATATAGAGATAATTACCTATACCGACTGTTTCTATGTCATATTTCTATATTAGTACACAAGGGAGACTACTACTAATAAAAACACTGACTGAAAACAGAAATTTTGTTTTGTTTTGTTGTTGTTTAAGTGGATTTTTTGCATGATCTCTTTTCCTTTTCCCATTTACTTAAGTCATCACCATCATTAATTAGTAGTTTTTATTTTAAACAATGGTGCGCTCATCATGGCATGCCAGAAAGTCTTTCTTTCTGTAGACAGTTCTCCAACCATAGTGCTTTCACAGCCATTGCATCTTCTACGTCATGCATCCACATCAGCATCATAACCTGCTGGTAATCCTTACGTCCTTCTTAGGACGACATTTTTTTTCTTTGAAGCCCCACCCTGGCTTTTGCTAGGAGCCGCAATATAGGCAGGCCATAAATATGGCCAATTGTCTGAACGCGGTTTCTGGGACCTCTCCACGGCGACCCTCAGCCACATGGTGGCACTTGGTGTCATCGGGTGTTTATCGCTTGTGTGATGTCCTGATGGGGTAGAAAGTCAGTCAGTCATGCATCTAATTTCACAGAGATTGGTTTTTGTCTCATTTTTTTTCAAAATCTGTAATGCCCATTACTAGTTTTTTTTTTTTCCAGGACATGATGTAAAGCGTCCGGGGGTAGCTACCGCATATCTAGTGAAGTGTCTTCTTCTTCTTCTTCTTCTGCCTTTCTATCCCCCAATGGAGCATAGGCCCTCAACCAACTTGGTCTATCCTTCGCCATTGCATGGAGCTCTCCCTATGTCCCCCCCATCTTTCTAACTTCATTCTCTAGCTCTCTTCTCCATGTGTTTTTTGGCCTTCCTTTATTCCTATGACCCTGTGGGTTCCAATGCAAAGACATCCTATTTATGCTGTTCTCCTGTTTTCTCAGTGTGTGTCCTATCCAACGCCAGCGTCTTTTCCTCACCTCTTGGTCCACTGGAGCCTGTTTAGTTCTCTCCCAAAGCTATACATTAAATAATTATGCTTCACCCATATATGCAAAAGTTTCCAAGTCAACCTTCTGGTGACTTATCAGGTTTTCTACCGGAGAGTGCCTATCTAATTCAGTTCATATAGTCACATCGTACAACTAACACCGATAACCATCAACAGTTAACCACATAAACAATACGGGAAGAGTCATCTATATAATAGTGCATCAGTCTATTTACTGGGATGAAACACAGTATGACGATGAAGATGAATTGGTGATTACCGAAATAATATCTGTCTTATACCTCCAGATACTCCCCGATCTGCCTCCAAGGTTGTGTTACCTCAAAGGGGAACATCTAGCCTTGACTTGGCGTGAATCCACAACATAAGATGCCTTCAGCCTACGGGCCCGCTCAAGGGGTCACCGATAGCCTTTCATAAACACCACAGCTATGAACCCACCTTTGGGTCACCTATAACCCCCCATAATAATAAACATCTCAGTTATGTGCCTACTCTTTGGGTCTCCTTTAACCGGCCATAACTGACTAGAGATGTTGCACTCAGTGATACGTCTCTACGACAGGCAGTTGTAAGTCAGTCTCCACTGCGATCAGGAACACATCCTGGCACTTAGATTATAAAGAGATGTTGGGCCCTCAACACCTCGTCTCCATTAATTACACTCAACTGGGGCATTCCTAATTATACACAAAATTCGAGTGAACAATCTAAGTTTTCATCAGAAAAAAAAAATACACATGATTACTGCTACAAAGTCACACACATCACTATTACAACATCCACAATAACACTGACTGATTCAACCACCCTGGGACTCTTTCTACCTGTGGTTGCAAGTAGATCTCACCTTTTCGCCAACCTTCGGGGTTCTTCACCTGCCAGTCACACCTGCCTCTCACAATCCCCGTGGAGATCGCTGTTAGCCATTAATCTCAAGAAAGCCCTGTCTCACAATTTAACCGTGTGGACCTTTTGCACTCGCCTCTGCCATCATCATCATCATCTAGCGCCTCTACAACTGGCATAGGCGAGCGCGCCTCTGACGTCTGGGACAATTGAACAGCAAAGTGAGTTTAGCACACAACAGCACATCATGTTGTTTAACCTCGGTTTTCAGGAGGATGCAGTTTACAAGCCAGTTCTCCTCGGTGTTACAGAAGTATAGTAATAGTATAGGATCCCTTATCCATAACCTTAAGCATACTGGATATATAACACTAGTCCTGAATTATAGACCGATCAGCACTTGCTTGATGTTGTGGTCAACATCAAGCCAGCTGCCTTTACTTTCCAGGACTTCACCTAGTGCCCATTTTGGGCTAGATCGACCTCATTTTACGCCGCGTTAATGCAGTCAATAGGAGACTCACTTTCAAATCCAGCTAGGGCTCGCTGCAACCATGGTCGGTGTTCGAAACTGGGCGGTTCCCGGGGTTCACCCAGCCTCTAGGAAATGGATACCAGAGTTAACACTCTGGGTTAAATGGAGGAACGTTGCTGCAGCTTTCTTATCAGCTGTCCGTACTGGTGGCAGAGCACTTATGGTTTATAACGGTCTGCAATGACACTGGTTCACATCTCCCGACTTTACCTTTTTTTTAAAATTATTTCAGACAGTTCATTTTTGTGTTCTGTGTTTTCTTCCTAGCTATTCTGCTGAGGAAAGCTAACCCCCACAACGTCTTTGCGAATGGTCCTATTAAGCTGACATATATTTTATGTATTTCAAAACTTTTCCAAACATGCAGAAGCAAGTGCGCCAAACCCCAGACTAGATTTATAATGACATAAACTAATTTATCAACATAATAAATAAACATCGACCTCGTTACCTGAGAATATTTGGGTGCGACAGCTTGTTCATTAACTGCACTTCCCGCAGAGCACTTGAGCGGTTGGCTGTGTCCTTGTTTATCTTCATCACCATCTCCTCGCCTGTCACTCGGTGGGTGGCCTTCAGAAAGTTTTCACACAAAAACTTTTTACTTTCAAGTTTGTACCTACTGTGAGGGAAGAGGGGCGGTAAAGTGGCTAGATGCATGCTTGCCAACTGACTGACAGGTCTTGGGTTCAAATACACATTAGGATGGAATTTTTTATAACTGAGCTGTTGTTTTCAAGTCCCCCCATGTAAATTCTGGGGGCCTATTTGGGGGTGGGGGGGGGGGTGGGGGAGGACCCACTGCCTTCTAACAAGCATGTAGTGAAACCCTAATAATTAGGGGTGTGTATCAACAATCTGCTGGCATTTGTGGCAAAGGTGTTGTGAACATGCTTCATAATGCCAGGGTGCCGGGTTCGATCCCAGCTGCGGATGATTTGTCTTGAGTTGGTTTTTATAAAGGTACCGAGAGCTGACCGTTCAAGAAGAAATAGCTAACTATGATGAAACTGAGGCCAAGACGGCCAGAAGAGCAAGAAGGAGAACATCATATCTTCTTCGAACCCAAAGCGGTAAAAGAAAAAGTGAAAAAGAAGAAGATTATGATAGAGAAATTATTGATCAAATTTTTAACTTTTTGAAAATAAAATTCACTTGTTTGTTCTCTCTCTCTTTTCACCGCACTGTCTCTGCCAAAAGCATTTATGTAGTCAACAGATTTGTAATGCCCCATTCATAGCTTGTTGAATATATAGTTCAAATGTTTATTTTCTCTTTTTTTTTTCTGTCTCTCTCTCTCTTTCTCTCTCTCGCATTAGCGTGGTCACCAGTGGTTTGTCAAGTAAATTTGTGATGCACAATTTGTAAATAAAGAACCCCAAAAAAAAATTTTATGGATCCATTTCATGCCAGTGGTGTATCTTAATCACCATTTGATGGATGATGTTGCCTACATCAGGCTGACCACCTTTACTACCCAGAACTTTACCTGGTACTCAATTTAGACTGGGTCAACTTGGGAACCAATGTCATTTTTTAAGAAAACAAAATCTGGTTAAATGTTTATTCAAAACACCAAATATGACCTTTTAAAAAAAAAGTTTGTTCATTCATTCTCCTTCTCACTCACACACACAAATCTCAACAACAACAACAACAAAAAAGGCTAAATTAAAAAAAACAAAATTTTAAAAAACGCATGCGCACACACACATTATTAGCAAGACAGTTTACATCAACACAAGTACTTACTTTATATACATTTGCGAAGAATCCCTCACCCAGAACTTCCAGTACAAAGTCATCGATGCGTGTCAGGGCAGACACCGCATGCTTCAAAGCCTGGCATGAAGATGTCGGCTGGGGAACTGGTGACGGTGACCTCTGCTCTGGGGGTTCATCATTAAGTGGTCCTAGGAAAGTAAAGTGGACACTACGTGCAACAATACAAAAATTATGTGAAGGAACCTTTCACAATACTAGTGCTTAGGATACCTGGTATTTCACCATGTGATGGTACAGCATATGTAAGTGAGTTAAGGTAACAACTTTGAGATAATGCATCCTTCCTGTGGCAAGTATGTGAGTCATGGACTCTCACTCAGTCTTTGAAGAAAAATATCGGAGCTACTGAACTGAAATGATACAGAGAGATTCTCAAGACCTCTGCAGACCAAGAAGGAGACAAATACTGACATCAATATTGATCTGACTGACATCAATATTGATCTGACAGTAATGGTCCTGAAAGAGCAACAGCCAAATAAAAAATTAAAAAATTAGCAACTTTTTTTTTCACCACTTATGCAATCGGTAAGCATGCCTGATATCACCTTTGTGGAGACGTGTCTAGGTCATTTTTAGTTATGCAAAAAAAATTGGTCCTGGCCAGTGATATCACCTTTGTTCATTTAGTACTTCTGCAGTTAGTTTCAGACCACGCAGTAAACAACTGATCCGTCCATACTGTTACAGAGTATTGCATGCACTGCTACTTTAAGCCCCACTAAATGCAACCACTGCAGTCCGCATTCACCCCTAAAATAGCTGTCCATACAAAATTTTATAACAGTGTAAGTAAAAGTAAAGGACTCTTTTCCATTGGGTATATAGGGCTAGACCTACATTTTATAGACCAAATGGCACTTGGTGGGTGATGTGGGCAGCATCGCACTGGCCACCTTTACTTCCAAGGACTAGGCCTGGTACCCACTCAAGGCTGGGTCGACTTGGGAGCGAAAATAATTAATTTTTTTTTATCCGATCCTTGTCAGGAACCGAACCATGAGCACTGCGACTCACTGCGGCTCCTTTAACAGTGTGAAAATAACAATTATTAACTAGTTGGTCTTAAACCTGCAGCAACCCCTGTATGTATAATACTTGTACTTCTACGTGACAATATTTCGTTACTAAGTCAAGTCACATGACATTTTTTGACACTGCCATGAAACTTTCACATCTGCCTACTTATACAACGTAGTAGAAAGAGGAAAGAGCACACAGTAGAACCTCGCCGCTCACCCACTTACTCACACACATACATACAACCCTCATCCCCAAGCACTTCGATAAGGTAAATGAAGGAAGAGAAGAAGAAGAAGAAGTCTTATAAGCAGTGCTGCATTTAGGTACAAGCTAATTAAGCTAAAACTCAGGGCCTCACAATCTGCAAGGGCTTTAAAATCAATTCTGATTCTTTCACAAATGAAAGTTTTCTTACATTTTACATTTAGGAACCTCAAGAAACAAATGTTTTTAGCTGTAATTTAGAACCTTTTAGAGTATTACACAAATTATTTGCTGGGATTTTGCACACAAAAAACATTCATTATTATTTCCTTTCATTAAAAAAAAAAATTATATGACAATGTATTTCCATTAAACATATATTTAAAGGGTTTATATATTTTAAAGTTTTCTGAGATTAACAGGTGTAACATCAGATGGAAGATACATTACTGAGATAAGAAACTGTTTTCAGAAACTGTTTAAAGGCAAAAACTGCATTTTATAAAATGAACAACATCTTATGCAACATAACATATCTCTGTCATTGAAGGTTAGAAAAAAACAATTCTTGCTTTCTACATACATCCAGTTTTAACATACGCCTGCGAATCCTGGATATTCGGAAGCCAAAAATTTTCTTGAGGTCTTCTTAGTTTTACAAAAGAATGCTTTAAATACCGTGGACATCCAAAAAAGAGCAACCAAGAGGTTTTGAAAGAGGCGGGAGCCCAAAGACAACTTACCACAGACATCAGAAGGAGACAGTCATCATTTTTAGGCCATGTTATGAGAAGAGGGAAAATGGAGTATATTGTGACCACTGGAAAGACCTGTGGAAGGAGGGATAGAGGAAGACAACGATTCTTGAGTCTTGTTGCATGGCATGGAGGTGTATCAGCACACGAGCTGATACATGCTGCAGGAAATCATGAATTGTGGAGAGGCATGATCGCCCATGCCAGTCAGCAAGGCACCTGATGATGATGAATGTAAAACAGTAGGGGCCTCAGGGCCTAAAATAGCCTAGGGCCTTATTAAGTCTAAATCCGACCCTGCCTATAAGTTTCTTCAGTTTACCTTCAGCATTGGGTTTTCCATCGTTGTCTATGAAAGTGGACACACTGATAGTTTTGCTGCGCCGGAGATGTCTCTGCAACTGTTTGCCCACTGACCCCAGGTCACCTTTGTTATCGGACATTCTGATGTTGTTCTTGGATGCAAAGACGGTCATCTTCACAGCTGACCATTCTGATATAACATCTGGCAAAAGATGAACTGACGGCAGTTCTGGTCAGTCCAGTGGTAATTCTGTAGAGGAAAAAGTGGAAACATGAAACTTGTGTGACGGAAGCAAAACAGTCGGTAGTCAAGGTTTCAACTTCACTGCAATTGGGTCACCCTATAATTGCCCCGCTCCTGCGCCAGTAAAAATCACACAAAATCACTGCCCCGTCTAAAAACTAGTGAACAAACAATGTCTCAGTAAAATCAAGAAACATGCACACACAGTAAATGCATAAGGCAGTTACTAAAAGTGCCAACACCAATAGTCCACTACCAGAAAATTTAAATTTGTCACTGGTAGAAAATGTCAGTTATGACTAAGCAGTATCATGGTAAAGGTAGTTCTATGAGCAGATATAAACAGAAAAAAGCAGAACAAGTACAAATATGTCTTCTTTTTCTTTTTCTGCAGCATTCTGAGCCCTGGAGATTCATTGCTGCAAAAATCACCCACCTCCATTGATCTCTGTGACTGGCTTTCTCTTATCAGTCAGTGACTCCAAGTGTCTGTTTGTCTGTACATTATCACATGCCAATCTTTTTGGTCTGCCTAAAGTTTACTCCCATACATACAACTAAACAGGTCATATGAGTTGAGTTGAGTCAAGAATTGACATCACAGCACATGAGCATTCCCATGCATGCTCCGTCCTCATCTTCAGCAGTTACAATACTGATGGTACGGGTCATAATCTGGTTATATGTACGTCTTGCCTTTCCTCTAAGTGTAGTGAGCCGGCCAGACCCTCTGGTAACACCCAGGTGCCTCATTCTCTCCAGGCCATAATAATCTTCTTTCTCTACTGATTCTACAGGTCATATAAATCATCATATAGCAAGTCCTTTGCAGAAAGTCACTCTTATCACAGTATGTGGGAAAGCCACTAGGTCCACTTTCAACTTTCCCACCTTGTGAGCTTCCATGCCTAGGGTGTCATTAATATCCTGTGTCCACCTCCGGCTGTCATTAATATCCTGCGTCCACCTCCAGCTGTCATTAATATCCTGTGTCCACCTCCGGCTGTCATTAATATCTTGTGTCCACCTCCGGCTGTCATTAATATCCTGAGTCCACCTCCAGCTGTCATTAATATCTTGTGTCCACCTCCGGGTGTCATTAATAGCTTATGTCCACCTCCGGCTGTCATTAATATCTTGTGTCCACCTCCGGCTGTCATTAATATCCTGCGCCCACCTTCGGCTGTCATTAATATCTTGTGTCCATCTCCGGCTGTCATTAATATCCTGCGTCCACCTCCAGCTGTCATTAATATCCT